ACAAAGTGGTCAAGCGTCAAACTAGGCGCGAATTTGACACGCTATTCGCGTCTGGTGTGAATGCAGCAAGGGTCTTATCTAGGACCCTTCGAGTCATGACTCGAAAAAAGTCATGATGAACGAGTTTGAACTGAACTGAACAGAGCAAGGCGAGCATTTGTGCTTATAAAACTTAAACTTTTGTATTTATTTTTTTAAATGACAGATGGTTTCGCTTTATAAGACCATTATTCATCTTCTGGTGTCGTTTGAAGCCCTTTGAAGCTGCACTGAAACTGCCTTTTGGACCTTGAACCGTTTGGTTCCCATTGAAGTGCATTATATGGAGAAAATCCTGGAATGTTTTCATTAAAAACCTTAATTTCTTTTCGACTGAAGAAAGAAAGACATGGACATCTTGGATGACATGGGGGTGAGTAAATAATCAGCAAAAGTTTTTTAAAAAATGAACTACTCCTTTAATAACCAAACCGACAATATGCAAGATTTACGTTGACACACTTTTATAGTAAAATATTCCTTTAAATGTCCTCAGCAACATTTCAAACCCAAATCAAACAAACAATCTGAATCTTTACAAGGGATTATATCCAGATATGACAGGGCTGTGATTTCTTAGCCAAACCTGAATTTATTGATTAAATCAATATGATCTGAACATCCCCCACGCATAATTTAGGTGTGAGGGTTAAATCGTACAGCCCACCTGTCAATAATGGACTTGTTGAAGTTGATTCATGGTATGGTCAACATAATTTACTGTTCTCTGGGGCTTCGCTTCAAACCGTGGTTCAATAGGAGGCCACGGAGTCGCTGTAGGAATGGCATAGGTGTCGTTTAGCATTTGAGATTTTACAGATAAACACAAACACTACAGTCTCTTGAGATTTATGTGCACTGTTATTAGCATGCTAAGTTACACGTGTATGTAGCCATTCATGTTTGCACTGGTTTTGGGGAAGTATTTTACTTAGCAGTGGTGTGAGCATTCATAGTCCGTAATAAAAGGGATCTTTTTTTCACAGCAATTGTGAAATCAGTCACATTGCTTATTGTATGTTAACCTTTACTGTAAGTTATTTATACTTTCTGTGTCTCTGACTTAAACAATGTTTTTAGCATGGATTAGCATGTCTCGATTTTGCAGAGTTAGACGCTTTCCTGGGTGAACATATTTTGTTGATCCTGGAAAAAACATTTCTGATCATATCCCTACCCCTAAACATAACCCTAACCCTATCCATAAGTTATCTCTAAAATCTGAGGGGAAATAATCTGTGAATTACACTGATGTAGAACCACCTAACCATGAGTGCAAGCCTAACATTGATATAAACTGCAAACTTGTCCTTCAAATCTTATTGGTTAGAATGTTGTTCTACTTTTGATCCAGGAACATGTTGTACTTGGTGAAATCAGGTTCTGCCATGGAGCCACCCTAGAAATATGACAAATATACTGTAATATACAGTGTCTGTTGAAAAGTTTAAGATAAATTGTGACTGCTGGGCCAGGACGAAACTTGTCAATAGGATCAGAACATTTGCCATTATGAAATTATAGATTGTTCGGAGTAAACAAAAGGAAAGTTCACCATTCACTCACCCTCGAGTTGTTCTAAACTTATTGTGTGTGTTTCTTTGTTCTGTTGAACACAAAAGCAGATATTGTATTTTTCACACTGTGGAAGTCATTGGGGATCAGCAACTGTTTGGTTACCCACATTTTTCAAAATATCTTCTTGTATGTTCAACAGAAAAAGAAAAAAAAACTCATATCGGTGACAGAATTTTTATTTTGGGCAAACTGTCCCTTTAAACAGTCATATTCATAACTAAAAACTGCAGGAGAAAAAAATGACTTTCTTGTGATTGAAGATGTACATGATGCTTGATAATGTGCCAAATATAGTTTTTTCCTTCTTTTTTTTCATTTTATGATTTCAGACAGACCTTGTGTTTGGCAGATCGGTTGTAACAGATTTAAGATCCAGTAAAACAGTAGCAGTGCATTTAGTGTACCTAATGTGCTGTCGAATGTTAGACTGTCTAAAGACCCTCTTACTGTACTATACATTCTTCAACACCAATGAATGTTTTTCTCAAATATGGTATGTCTTATTTCCTAATAAAATTTATATATTCCTCAACTGATCAGATTAACTGTGTGTTTTTTTAGCCTAATAGATACATATAACCGAATATTTAAATTGGGTAAATAAATAAATAGATAGAAAAATGTGAATTGCAATTGAATATATGAACACATACACCAATGTTCAAAACTTTGGGGTTGGTACGTCTCTTATGCTCACCAAGGCATTTATTTGTTAATAAATACAGTACTTTTTTTTTTTTTAACAAAATGAACTGCAATTTGAAATAACTTTTCGTTTTAATCTATTTTAAAGTATAATTATCTTTGACGGCAAAGGTGAATTTTCAGCAGCCATTAACCCAAGTCTTCCTTTTATTAATAATAAACATATTAGGCCAGTTTCACAGACCAGGCTTAAGCTAGCCCTGGACTAAAATGCAAGTTGAGCTGTTTTAACTGAAAGAAACTTGCTCTGATATAGACTTGGCTCATTGCCTTGACTTCGGCAGTGTTTGCGCATGGCAACTTGGTGACAACTAAAGGAGTAGTTCACTTTTAAAAAACCTTTTGCTGATAATTTACTCACCCCCATGTCATCCAAGATATCCTAGTCGAAAAGAAATTAAGGTTTTTGATGAAAACATTCCAGGATTTTTCTCCATATAACGGACTTCATTGGGAACCAAACGGTTCAAGGTCCAAAAGACAGTTTCAGTGCAGCTTCAAAGGGCTTTAAACGATTCCAGATAATGAATAAGGGTATTATCAAGCGAAACGATCGGTCATATAAAAAAAACAAAATAACAAAGTTTAAGTTTTATAAGCTCAAATGGTCGCCTTGCTCTGTTCTGTGATGCCCGTTCGTGACTCCCCTGTTCAAACTCGTTCATCAAAATGAAAGATTCTTTTTTCGAGTCAGTTGGTTGATTCAATGAACAAAATGAACGGATTGACTCAGAAAAAGATTTGTTCATTTTGATGAACGAGTTCAAACAGGAGAGTCTCGAGTGCGCATCACAGAACAGAGCAAGGCGACCATTTGAGCTTATAAAACTTAAATTTTGTTGTTGTTTTTTTTTAAATGAGCAATCATTTCGCTTGATAAGACCCTTATTCATCGTCTGGTGTCATTTAAAGCCCTTTGAAGCTGCACTGAAACTGTCTTTTGGACTTTGAACTGTTTGGTTCCCAATGAAGTCCATTATATGGAAAAAAAATATTTTCGACTGAAGAAAGAAAGAATGACATGGATATCTTGGATGACATGGGGGTGAATAAATTATCAGAAAAGGTTTTTTTTTTTTAAAGTGAACCACTCCTTTAAGTGAATATTTATTTACTAGTAATTTCTAACTAGAAATCAAAAGTGGGGAAAAGAACGTACATTTACACACACTGACCATCAACTGCAATTTTCAGATGCCATATTTATGTTTTAAGCTGTCACAGAATGCACAGTATTGTTGGATATCAAAGGCAGCGATGGATACAAAAAATCCATTAGAGAGAGTCAGGATGTGACACGATCATTGGATTCAGATGCGTCTTGTTGACTTCCTTTGCTGCCTGCGGAGGCAGCACTGTTCAGCTTTCGGACGCAGCCGTTGAGTTTTTCCATATTTTAAATATTGCAACTGGTGCTAAAATTAGAATCACTAAGAAGATCCATTGATGCCTGTTCGGTCAATTGTTTCACAATAATTGATCAATCCAGAGTCATTGTCATTATAGACCCTTTAATTGAGGTGTTCAGTTAAGACATCCATAACAAGCAGATGCTAAACAAGACGTACACAGACTCCCACCATCTGCTCTCTCATTTAGATTAAAGGATCTGAGATCTGACTAATGCTTCCCTGTAGACAACTGGTCTCAAAGGAGCCATTAGGTAAATGACATTCATCAAACAGACAATGACCACTTTATATATCCAGTCACTGCTTATTTGCTGTAGAATTATCAGAATAAGTTTTACATTTATTGACAGTTCCAACTGCCTTTTTCCCCAACAGGTTAGACTCAGGCATTAACTTAAAATGTAACTTAATATTCTCAAGATTTTATTCCTTTCATAATGTTCACTATCTAGCATGCTGAAACGTTTTTGTTTGACCTCTTTAAAACGTTACAAGATTGAACAGATTTTCAAAACAACAGGACAAACTCAACATTCAAAACAGCAATTTATTGTGCATTTTCTTCATGATTAATTTACAGATCATATACATTCGATTATGCATTTTAGATGTGAAACATTTGAGTGTTATTCATGGTTTCATTTATTTATTATTGGGGTTATTATCTATACCCTGTCTTCAAGAGTTTTTAAAAATCAATAGTATCTCTACAGTGCTTGTATTGCATTATGGAAAACATGCTGTCTGTCTTATTACTAAACATCCCCGCTTGAACTTGATCTGATTTATGGACTGAGAGGGTTGCAGTTGCAGGAGGTTAGTTCAACTCCACTGGCAGAACATGAAATGCTTGTAACTTTTGGAAGAAAGGGAAGAATGTAAATCTACAGTGCCGTAATGATATAAAGAGAGTGAGAATACAATTCATTCGTTATTGATTTATGTATCCTATTGCATTTGACCATATCTGCTTATTATCCCTGTTTCATGAGCATTTATAATGCATTTTGTCTCTGAATAAATTTGAGCAATATTCAATACAGAACTCAACGACAACTGGGTACACTGTGAAAGTGATCAGTTGACTTAACTTAAAAAAGTGAAGAAACCCGTTGCCATAAAATTAAGTAGATAAACTTCATGCGTAATTGAAAAAAAAAGTTATGGAAACTTGACATTTTTAATTTCAATTACGCATTAAATTTATTTACTTAATTTTATGGCAACGGGTTTCCTCACTTTTTAAGTTAAGTCAACTGACCACTTTTTACAGTGTAACACTTTCTTTGAAGCTTTTATAATGCAACATAAATGTATTCTTAATGCCTTAAAATGGATTCCTAAGGCCTTATAAATTTTGTCAATTGTATGTTCTCGTAAATAATTGTCAGTCACAGTAGCCTATAATAAATTCTAACGGTTTATTCATGGCTATATATTTAGATAGGCCTAATACATTGTATTATAACAAAGTAATCAATAACAATGGCTTGTGTTAAATCAAATGAATAGCCATGAATAGTTCAAAATTAAAATGATTAAAATAATTTGTTATACAAAGTATTAACAGGCCTAGCTGTCACAAGAAAGATCCATATCCCAATAACTATAGCCTAATCTTTTTATTCAAAAGTCCACAAATGTGTTTTCCCCCCCAATACAATACATTTACACAATGAATTAATTCGGCAACACACTGCACATTTAGTCTTTTTTTTACATGTTATTTTGCCATAGTTTTATAGACCTATCATCATTGTTTTACTATTTAAATTTGTGCCGTTGAAATGCCAAAGGCTGTTTAATAGCACCCCTTTTTGTCCCTTGGCAAAACAAATGGTGGTCATAATTTTCGTAGAAAGTGTTGTCGAGAACGGTTATATATTACTGTGTATTCGTATAATTTGAGAATCCTTGTTTTGGGGAGTGTATGAAAATGCGTGTTTGTTCGTAAGTTTGTGTAATGAGACAGCGGCCTGTTGAACGTGCCTTCGCCTTCAGAGATGATGCGGTCCCAGGCGCAGGACTGAGAAAGCTCTGCGGTGTTTTCGCAGCAACTGTCGGATCTTCTCGTCGTCCGTGTCGGGATCCAGTGGTTTGTTGTACTCCTCGTCCTCCACTTCGTTCTCTGAGCCGTCTCCTGCACTCTCCACCCGCGAGGGCTGTGTGGAGCTGGGCTCCGTCGCGCTCTTCTTCCGCCATTTAGTGCGCCGGTTCTGGAACCACACCTGAGAGGAATCACATTACCGTGTCAAATACACCCAGGTGCTGTTAAAACTCGTTACAAATAAATAAACTCACACGACAAACCTTTGAAAATGTCAGTTATACAGAATAGCCTATACTTTTGCTTCTCAACAATTTTACCAAATTGAATCCCCAACAATGAGTAGGCCTATAGGCTATTTTATATAATAACGCAGGAATGCAGAACTATTATTGTTGGTTTAACTTTTCTTTTCATTTTTTAAGGAACCTGGTTGTTTATTGAAATTAATAATGCGAGTTAATATCCTAAAATGATTGAGATTGTTTCATCAACAGAAACTCCATATATCTGAACCAAATTTAAGGGATAACCCCAAAATGAACATTTTGTCATCATTTAGGCTTTTACTTTCATGTTATTCCAAAATTGTCTTCTGTTAAACACAAAATAAGATATTTTGAAGAATGTTGGTCACCATTGCCAAAGCCATTGACTTTTATAGTACTATTTTATATGTAAGTCAATGACTATTGGTTCAACCTTTTGATTACCAGCATTCTTAAAAATATCTTATTTTGTGTTCAACAGAATAGAGAAACTCCTACAATATTTTCATTTTTGGGTGAACTATCCCTTTATCAAAGTTGATTTGACTAAAGAAAAAAAAGTTGTGATAACAAGTCATGAAAATATTTTTTACAACGTTAACTTACTTTAACTTGTGACTCAGTCATTCCTAGTGAGTATGCCAGTCTGGCTCTCTCTGGTCCGGCCAGGTACTTGGTCTGTTCGAAGGTTTTCTCCAGAGCGAAGATCTGATGCCCACTGAAAGTGGGTCTTGTGTGTTTCTTTTTCCCCGCCGTCTCAGTGTGATGCCCACCATCTAAAGAGAAACACAAGATTTTGTGTCCCAACTAAACCTGCATGTGCTTGACACATTTGATATGAATTCACTTCTCTTTTATTTAACCTTGTGATTTAAAAGCATGAACTGGGCAAATGGAATTTTAAAAGACCAATTTTTTATTTTATGTTAGAAACATTCATATTAATTACAACTGAAACTAGGAGATCTTGGAATAAATAGAAATAAAAGAAATATCTGCAGTATTAAAAAAAATGCTTTACTTCTCATAGTCAACAAATGTCAATGAAAATGTCAAATGTTTGATAGAATTATGTTATAATGTTTATTATATTTTATAAACATAATTATTTAAATATATTTAATATAATTTTCATATGAATTTATATATACATATTTTTACAGTTTAAAATGATAAGCCACTACAATTATTTTTATCTTGTTTTTAAAAAAAAAATATTTTCCACAACCTTTCATTCAAATCGAATTTATATCCTGTCAATATTACATACAAGGATAATATCACACTGATTTGTTAAATCATTGAAAAAATATTTCCACTTAAATCATTTTTTTTTCATTAAAATATAAATTTTTATATTTTGTTTACTGAAAAAATTCATTTGAAAATTTGTCCACAACCTTCACTTAAATATAATTTGCATTGTGTATACAGTCAATTTTATATACAGTGACAATATCACACTGATTTGTTAAATCTTGTAACATTTCCACTGAAATGTTAAAATATTAATTTGAATTAATAACTGGACTAATATTCAACCTGATCACATCAAGTCAAGTCCTTAAATACAGTCTAATTGGGAGTTTTAAAATTAATAAAATAATATTTTTCTGTATCCAAACAATTGACATAAATCTACTAAATAGTAAAGAAGGTAAATTAGTATTAGTAAATATCACATTGTTCACGTAATACTCTTTCAAATGAACTGGAAGTGCATCTTGCACAGACTTACTGTTGGCACACTGCTGTCTCGCTCCTCTCCACTCGTACCCTCCGTCCACCCAGCAGCTGCTGCCTTTGCCCTTCATACCCGAACACTCAACACCCGCTTTAGGGAAAGCGCTCAGTCCCGATGGGGCGTAATCCCGATTATAATACACCCCTGGACTGGGCACAGCTGTCCCAAAGCCACCCATGGCGGGGTACCCGGACAACAGCGCAGGGGCTCCCGGGCCGCCCATCAAGGATCGACTCAGGATGTCACTGATGCCATGCGGAGTGCCAGCCTGGAGCTGAGCGTTGATATTGGTGGGGTTGAGCTTGTAGAAAGAGTTGGGAATGGAGTACTGGCACACCGGGGCCTTGATGTCTGAGGGGAACTGGTTCAAGCTGTTGTTGAATAGGAAAGACCCTGAAATATTGGACTCCATGGAAACTAGTGTGCGCTCTTCTTCTGTTTCCAGTGACGAGGATGATGATGATGATGATGATTCCAGGCTGATTCTTACCAAGGTCCTGACATCCAGTAGTCCGGAGGGTTCTGATTTAATAATCTGGAGTATTTCCAGCGCTCAGTGTGGTCCTCACATCACACCAGGTTCAAAATGTGTGAAAGGTCAGGTCAGAGTCTGTTTTTATTTCCTCTTCTCAACTCTTTTAACTAGTCCATAATGGATGCTGGAACTCCAAAGTGAACACCCAGCGCCACTCTCCGTTGCACAGACAAATGTCCCACTGGCTCTCTGGTTGCAGGTCATAAATAAGATGTACCTTACACAGTCCAACATAATGATGGACAGGATTGGAATGCCCTGTCTTGATTGGTTAAGCGCTCAACGTGCCTGATCTCTTCATTGGTCTGTTTTCGCAGTGGGACAGCCTTTGATTGGTTGTCAACAGATTAATAGTTTTTTAAAAAGTCAGGGTGAGAATAAGTAGCTTTTTAATGGGGCGTCTGCCGTGGCTGTGGAGGGGCAGCTAGGAAGCGTAACACAAGGAAATGGGATTTTTGTCATCTTCGATGGTCATTGGGAATATATTTGACACAGTAATTTTCTTCATAATGATTGTGGCATTGTGGAAGATGAATAAGACGTTTGGTGACTATGTCTGACATATTTCTTTTTCTTACTAATTTCAGCTGCAAAATCTTCCCCTCTCTACTTTTGACGTAATTCATCAAAATATTTGCATCTAAATTGTATTTCTAGAGCAATTTATAATTTTAATCAAAAGTATCAAAGTACTTTTGATTCTTATGTAGTCTACAACTGGAAAAATGGAAAAAGTGTTTATTCAAGGATGTAATGCAATTGCAAGATGCAGTTCAACAAGCGCATTTTCTCAAGGTAATGAGAAATAACAAAATGTGTTATATAATGAAATAAGTGTAAAGAATCTTCAGCAATGACACCCATTTTCTGAGAGCAAAAGTTAAATGGTCATTCTGACCTTAAACTAGCCCTTGTCCTTGACTTTCTGGTCTTAGACTGTTTGATATTCTGTCCAGCTCAAGAAGAGTATTACAATTACAGTTTGCGCTGAGCTATTGATTGTGTAGGTGCATGCATAAATTCTTAAATTTCTTGACACAAGCATTCACAAGTTGCGTAGTGTCAGTGGCAGTTTCTGAGGTATAAAAAAGGTGTTTGTGTGTATATATAGTATATACACACAAACACCTTTTTTAATATATAAATAGTCAAGTCAAGTATATTTATATAGCGCTTTCACAATATAGACTGCATCAAAGCAGCTTCACAGAATCAATCAAAACATAATAACAATGTTCGTTTCTTAGTGAATAAACATGCACGTTTGGTAGAGCTGATCAAGGATATTACTGATTTGTTAATTAATTTGAATATCCCCAACTGAGCAAGCCAAAGGCAACAGTGGCAAGGAACCGAAAAACTCCATCAAGTGGCCTAATGGTGTGCTAAAATCAGGTGAAGTAATGAAGAAAAAAAAGTCACAAAGTATTTTTGATACTTTTTTCCCCCACACCATTTCACACACTCACCTAAAGGATTATTAGGAACACCTGTTCAATTTCTCATTAGTGCAATTATCTAATCAACCAATCACATGGCAGTTGCTTCAATGCATTTAGGGGTGTGGTCCTGGTCAAGACAATCAAACTCCAAACTGAATGTCAGAATGGAAAAGAAAGAAGATTTAAGCAATTTTGAGCATGGCATGGTTGTTGGTGCCAGACGGGCCGGTCTGAGTATTTCACAATCGGCTCAGTTGCTGGGATTTTCACGCACAACCATTTTAGGGTTTAGGGTTTACAAAGAATGGTGTGAAAAGGGAAAAACATCCAGTATGCGGCAGTCCTGTGGGAGAAAATGCCTTGTTGATGCGAGAGGTCAGAGGAGAATGGGCCGACTGATTCAAGCTGATAGAAGAGCAACTTTGACTGAAATAACCATTTGTTACAACCGAGGTATGCAACAAAGCGTTTGTGAAGCCACAACATGCACAAACTTGAGGCGGATGGGCTATAACAGCAGAAGACCCCACCGGGTACCACTCATCTCCACCACAAATAGGAAAAAGAGGCTACAATTTGCAAGAGCTCACCAAAATTGGACAGTTCAAGACTGGAAAAATGTTGCCTGGTCCGATGAGTCTCGATTTCTGTTGAGACATTCAGAGGGTAGAGTCAGAATTTGGCGTAAACAGAATGAGAACATGGATCCATCATGCCTTGTTACCACTGTGCAGGCTGGTGGTGGTGTAATGCAGCCCGTTCTCATTTTGACCATGCATCAACATCCAACGCACATGGCACCAGACCGAAACCTACCCGCGTCATCCAACTGACGCTAAAGGTTGCCATGTGTGTCGGATTTAGATGCATGGTCAAAAGTGTCAGTTAGATTACGCCCTATAGGATGAGAATGTGTTGTGTAATGGTGTGGGGGATGTTTTCTTGGCACACTTTAGGCCCCTTAGTACCAATTGGGCATAGTTTAAATGCCACGGCCTATACCTGAGCATTGTTTCTGACCATGTCCATCCCTTTATGGCCACTATATACCCATCCTCTGATGGCTACTTCCAGCAGGATAATGCACCATGTCACAAAGCTTGAATCATTTCAAATTGGTTTCTTGAACATGACAATGACATCACTGTAAAAAAATGGCCCTCACAGTAACGAGATCTCGACCCAATAGAGCATCTTTGGGATGTGGTGGAACAGGAGCTTCATGCCCTGGATGTGGATCCCACAAATCTCCATCAACTGCAAGATGCTGTCCTATCAATATGGGCCAACATTTCAAATTAATGCTTTCAGCACCTTCTTGAATCAATGCCATGTAGAATTAAGGCAGTTCTGTGGGCGAAAGGGGGTCAAACACAGTATTAGTATGGTATTCCTAATAATCCTTTTGGTGAGTGTGTATATATATATATATATATATATATACTGTATATAAGAAAAAATAGTTACAATAATAAGAAGAAAAAGAAAAGAAGGGGAAAAGAAGGAAGGAAGAAAGCAAGAATGGAAATAACAGGATAAAGGAAGGAAGGAGAAAGAAATGTAAAAGGAAGGAGAAGGAAATAAAGGAGATAAGGAATGAGAAAGAAAGGAAGATAGAAAGAAGTAAAGAGAAAGAAAATAAGGAAGAAAGAAAGGAAATAATGAAGGAGAAAGAAAGAAAGAAAGAAAGAAAGAAAGAAAGAAAGGTAAAATATGCTAGTTTTAATTAAATAAACCCCTAAGACAAAAAAAAAAGTAATTTTTTTCGTCACCAACTCACAGTTTCGTCACCGTATATTTTTTTACGCCGGGATTTCCATACATTCATTTAAAAACCTCTTCAAGGAAAAATCTCCTCTCTGGATGTCATTGTTTGGGCTACTTTTGCTCTGTAGAGGGCGATAGATGACAGTCAACAATCTCCACATAGAGACCTGTTGACAATCTCTATGCTGGAAGCATATCATCAAACAATCAGTACATTTATAAAGTAATGTGTCCTCATATCAATATGGCCAATATGTGCATACACACTTTGTTACTGTACTGTTTCATCACTCGAAAACATAAAGCTGACTCTAGCTCAGGGTCAGTGCTTTAAAAACGATGGCAATCTGTGATCAGCAGGAGAATTAAACTTGTCTCAACTTGAGCTTGGCTTTGTATTAAGACATTAAGGCTTTGTATTAAGATGCAAGTACAAAGAGATTTAATAGAAAACATCAATTAATGCACTGAGAACTGACACGAACAAACAATAGATGACTGTATTTTTATTAACTAACATGGATTAATAAATAAAAACTACTAACTACTATAATGTATTGTTCATTGTTAGTTAATACATTATAATGTTAACCAATTAAACCTATTGTAAAGTGTTATATGTTGTTATTAACTTAAGAGAAAAGGCGGTAACGCTTTAGATTATAGCCCGGAAAGTACTGTGTAATGAAGAGGAATTTACAGTGTAACTTTCTGTAATTATAGTGTACCTATAAAGTACTTAGATGTTAGTATAAGGGTACAACATGTAGAGTTTGGGGAATAAAGGGGTAACAACCTGGAGAAATAAAATATATATATATATATATATATATATATATATATATATATATATACTGTAAATGTACTTATTCTCCTATTATGTTCCATGTTTCAATGGAAGAAAAGCTAAGACTATTGCAATTTTTAAAAATATACTGACAAATATATCTGGTTTCATGTGGTTACAGGGTAGGCTAAGTGGTGCTTGTTTAATAGAGGTTTCCAAGTCAGTGATATAAGATTGTTTGAATGTATTTTTATTGTACTTGCCCTGTAACTACATGGAACAAGAGGGTAACTGTAACGTCAACACAGTCTCATGAAAGTGCATATCTATACCATGATTGTCATTTCTTGTGGCATTTATACACCAAAAATGGTTTCTGCGTGCATATGCTACGCACCGAAAACCCCCTGGGTAGGTTTAGGGGGAAGGGGGGTGAGGAGTTCGTACTTATTATACGGCAAAAAGTGCGTATCATATGCATGCGAAAAACGCGTACCATATACACGCAAAAACTAGTTTTGGTGTATAAATGGCACGAGAAATGACATTCGTGCTATAGGCTAGATACAAACTTTCATGAGATCGGGCTCGTAACGTTGGGTCAGGAATGAATCAGAATGTGAATCCAGTCGCAAGCACTATATTAACTAAACAAACCGGTCATCCAGTGTAAATGACAAACAAAGAAACTCAGACCAGGAACATGGAACTCAGCTACAGCATAGCATTCTCATCCTAGGGCGTCATCTAACTGACACTTTTGACCATGCGTCAAAATCCGATGCACATTAGCGTCATTTAGATGACGCGGGTAGGTTTAGGTCTGGGGTAGGGTTGGGGTTAGACCACTAGAAGGCTCGTCTCATATTGACGCTAAAGGGTGCCATGTGCGTCGGATGTTGACGCATGTTCAAAAGTGTCAGTTAGATGACGCCTTGGCATACAGGCAACAATGACCGACAAACAACAACTGAAGAACAGAGGCATAA